TGTATATATATATATATATAGGCGCACGCGCGCGCTCACACACACACACACACACACACACACACAATCAATCAACACTTCTTCCGGTCGTGAGGTGGTGCAACGCGCCGAATGCACGAAGATCTCGCTCTATGAGGTCAGTAATTCCTCAATTCTCTGGGATGTCGAACGGCTGCTTGCTGGTTCTTTTTTTCTTGTTGTTTATCTATCCGATTAGCAAGCTGATAAATTTCGTAACATCGAGACCGGCTCGTAAGGTCAGAAGGACATTTATCAAATATATTCTGGAGGAATAGTAATAACATGGATAATTCGTGAGTTATGCCAGTGAGATACGCGATGGCACGTGCGGATTATCAAGTTAAACGATTTCGTCATAATTTCACATATTGTGTATTCAACAGTATGGAGATAGCGGTATTATTAATGAAACCTAAAGCACGTTTCCGTGCAAAGCTCATCGATCCATTACCTATATGCATGCTTATGAATAAGAAAAAAAAGAAAATTCCCGTGAGAAATGAAATAAATTAAAGTTCTGACTGGCAGGTTTCATCAAAATCGGAAGGCCGGATCTTTTATACGGTGAAAATGAGGTAACTATCCGTACGATGATTAATGCCTGGCACACAGTTGGCTGACTGAAAATAAACGACGGTAAAATTAACTGCGGCTGTAAAATTGTCATTATATATTGAACGGAAATAAAATCACAGCGTGTATATCGATCGTATAAATTTCACTCCGCGTGAAATCGAGCGAGGAGTCCAGTGCGGAGTGTGAGATTTTTTTTCCTATCGGGAATATCGGGAGGATCGTTGAATGTGGCTTCGGCGGGATGAGTCGACTCAACAAGTGCTCGGAGACATCCATTACCCGGGCAATGAGACAAATCCCTCCCGGAGGAGGAGAGCCGATGTACGATGTTGAAGGCGAGAAAGCGAGCCTTCTCGTCGATGTTGCGTGAAATATGTACGGTCGTGTGATCGACCGGAAGATCGCCGGATTTACGGCGGCTATAGCGCGGCTCATTTTGACCTTAGCTCATGAACGTACCCCTTTTCCCGCGGCCACCAACCGCCGGGGGTGTCACGACGCTCTTCAGTGACTTGCCGGGCGTCGCGACGCTACCACGCGTTCCGACGTCCGTGCCACTCGTACGCGAACGGTATGCCGCATCCCGGCGGTCTTCCTGCGGCATCAAGAAACGCCGTTGTAGGAATTTGGTTCATCCGCGAGTCGAAGATGCTGTTCTCGTCAAGGTTGCCGCACATCGTCGCATCACCGAGTTTCGCATAAGGATGTCGAAGCGGCGCGCGAACGACAAGGGGAATGACGACCACGACGACGACGACGACGACGATGTCGTTTGCGGCATCGGTAGGAGGGTCGTTTGTATATTTCTTCTAAAATCATTGATAAGAAATTTGATACCTGACCTGATAAAAATTATATATTGAAAAAGATTTTTATATTATATTAAGAAAAAAATTATATAAGGAAAATGTATTATAATCCCTAGGCAATTTCTTGGAAAAAAAAATATTTTTTAGGCAGTATCTACTCTTTTTTTTCTAAATCTTATGAAAATTGAGCTTGTGCTTAATTATTCGAGTTATCTGTCACTCTATAAGAATCATTAAAAATCAGTTCTATAACACAGAACAGGATTCCTTATAAGATATGATTTTTGACTCTTATTAGAACATAAATCAGTCGAATAATTGTACAAGCTCAATTTTCTGTTTTAAAGTTTAACGTTTCACTCTATGAGTTTTAGGGAGTAGCATTTACATGAATATTTCACGTGAGAAGACATTGAAAAAAAATAGCGTAGCGTAATAGGATAATATAGTTGTTACATATGCGGGGGAAAGAGGTATAACTTTTTCAGTATACACGCGTAACCAAGTTTCAAGCAATCGATGAATAACTTAAATTTTGCTGATATTGTCATCGAGAACTTTAGGAAGGAAAAGTCAACTTTAGCTTAATATTTTTTTTAAACAATGAATCTAAAGAACGATCGTTATTTAATTAACTCGACGCGTAACTCATCGCGTGACATTTTAAACCTTGAAAAATTTCGATGCCATGTCCCTGAATGCCATGTCGAGATATCTTTTACATAATATTATCAAACCTTTTTTTATTACCGCTTATATAAATACATTTCAAAATAGATATTACGGACACGCCGATTACGATATCTTCGAGGATTTCGCCTCGTTTAAAAAATGGCATAATACGAACGAAATGGACAAAGTCCGTAACTGTACAGACCATAGAAGGATTACCCCTGCGATTGAGGATCCTACCGTCTCTCAGGGACATCGAGGAAAATAACGGAAGCTCCTCGGGAAAGGTCTCGAGAGTTCGGAGGTATCTGAGATTCTTGGGACGTTTGTCGCTGTCGCAGTTCGGTACGGGCTGAAATCACGATCGACGATTTATCTATTTATTTATTTTGACGATTTACTTTTCATTAATCGGCTAACGATCGTCTTCGTCGCAGGCCTTCTGTGGCTGCTTGTAATGTGGACGGTGGCGGGTGCAGCGGCGTTTTGCGCGACCGAAGGACCTCGCGAGCGCGAGCAAGTCGTGTCACTGAAGAGCATGCAGAAGGATTTAGCGGTCGGCTTGGCGACGGAATTGCGGCAATTGCGGACGGAACGAGATCAGAATGTGGAGCCGTTGTGGAGCGACAAGGTCCGCCAGTACGTCGCCAAACACGAGGAGCTCCTCTTGATCGCGGTCAGTTCCGGCTACGGCGAGGGTGGTAATAGTGGACAACTGTGGACATTTCCCGGCTGTGTGCTGTTCGCCATATCGCTAATCACCACTTTAGGTAAATGTTAATTAACTTATTTGGGACCATTCATTTCATCTTAGACAAATGTTAATTACTACTACTACGTCGTTAAATATTGGGAATCTGAATCTTAATGAGCTTGAAATTCTTAAATGATGTATAAAATGTCCTAATTATGAAAAAAACTATCTTATTCTATTCATTTTCTCTCTTAATTTTTAAATTTTACGTAGGTTTTGGAGCACCGGTTCCGCGAACTACCGCCGGTCGCACGGTAGGGGTGATTTTTGCCGCCATCGGCATTCCCGCGCATTTCCTTCTTATACTGAATTTCGGCCTTATGGTGGCTTTTCGTCTGCAAAAGTACGCGCTAGCCAGACGAGGCGTACAACTTGTAGACAACAATGTAGAATCCAGTTATTTCGGACGAATGCCGAAATGGATAAAAATCATGTCGTTCGTTTGTTCAGGTAAATTTTTTTTATCAATAAAAATTCGTCTCGATCGCGATTATTGCTAGCTGCTCGTTTTTGAGTTTGAGTTCAGAATACAATTTAGAATAGAATAATCATCGAATCATGATATAAGTACAATTAAAAGAATTTCGGGATTTCCTTTTATCGCTTTAGTCGCTTACTACATTTTGGGAGTATTGTGCTTCGGCATTGCACGATCGAGACCAATCGCAGCGAGCGTGCTGTTTCCGTTGGACTTCACCGCAGCAGGCGGTCTCTCCACCATCGTCGGTCATGTGCGGATATTATATGGCTTGTACTTGGAAGGCGCTGTTACTATCGCAGCGATAGTGGTGGCTATATTAAGAGTATCTGCGACGCAGAGTCTTACAAATATCGGACTGAAGTACGGCCTGTTAACGGAGGCTTAACTTATTTCATGTTTTTCAGCCCCTTGTATATACGCAATACACTAATATTATCATGTGATGTTTATCATCATGTTATTTTCTCTGTATATTTAATCATGGTTGATAGATAACATACTCCCGACTTTTGGACTGTTGATAATGACACAATTACGAAAGAATAACTATAAATCATACATGTATATATTTCGTGGATCAGATCTTTTTTATTTCGCAAGATTAAACATACGTAAATCACACAGTCTCAAACCAGATACTTTATCTCTAGTCTTTTTTTTTTTTTTTTGTACGGTTCATATCTAAAATTTTGTTTGTAAATAAAAAAGAGGAAGATAGGAAAAATTGCTTAAAAGAAATGTATACATTTCTATGTATACGCAAGAGGATATGTGCGGCGCAGAATTTATTTTACAAATGTATATCAATTTATTCAAGGATAGACTAACAACTATATATTTATCTTCATGTACACTTTATTTAAGTAAGATGTAATAAAGACAAATTTATACGCTACGATACGACTGTACAGCTATTTACCTATCGGGTGTCACCATGTATTCGCTTATAACGATAATTCCTTGTGTTTCTTATCTCGACAACTTGATCAAAAGTGTACGTATTCAAGTCCAGACTCCCATTTATAATGATGATGCTAGCGCGCCTATGATCGATATACTTATTAGCAGTATAATGACGCGATCAGCATCCTCCAGATTCCTATATGCTTTAGACGTCTGCGATTATATTTAAGGCATTTTTCGTCGTTGCATTTTAGCATTAGGATTATTTTTGCTATCAGCATTCGACGTATCTTTGGCATGCTTATTATTAAGAGATTTATCTCCCGGATGCTCGGGCTCAGAAGATGAAGACTGGTTTTTGTGATTAGGTGTATTTCCTAGTGCGATTCGTATAGATTCCACCAAGTGCAACGGACCTGAACAACACTCTTTCGTACCTGCGGATAAATTTGTATTTATTGGCATATTTCCAATACTTTTGTTAAGATTGTACATGGATGTCAAAGACTCGATGTAAAAGTCTAATTAATTTTTATTTAGATTTCATAATAACAATTTCAAAATTACGATAAATAATTCTTACCACAAAATCATTGATTCCAAATTTAAAGGATTTATTCTGCGAATATGCTTTGATTGAGACAACGTATAATTAAAAAATTGTATTAGAATTATTTACAATTCCATTCATAAAGCATTTTTATTTTCACATTATAGTTATAATATATTTCGCATATAATAAAGATATCATAGCTACTACTTACAATTTATTCTTTACCCAAATATAGCTTTTTTAATTTTACTAAGTAGACCATTTTGAACTTCTTGTCTCGCTTGAGTTTGCACCTTTGGACCTGCCGTGCCTAGAAAAAATATTGAAGCTACTGATAAGGGAGACTACTTCGAAATATATATCTTAGATTGAGAGATTTAATTGTATTCGATTTAAATTTCTATTACGGCAAGTTTCAATGTACGAGAACTTTTTCATTTCAAAAAACATCAATGAAACGCATTTGTAATATTTTAATGTTTTATTTAATTAGTAATAGCAGGTACACAGGGGAAAACTCAAGCGACATATAGTTTAAAAGAGACGCTACTATTGTGGTATCATTAAATATCCGATATCACAGACAAATATACGGAAACTCAAAATATATATTATTAGAAATTATTTATATTTTATTATTTGTCCTTACCATCCGTTTTATATGTTACACCATATATACTGCCAGGAGTGTCGGTCTCAAGTTCGGCGTACGCTTGAACCAACGCCCGTTGTTTTTCCGTCAATTTTTTAGGCACGATGATCTTAACGTTCACGTAATGGTCACCATAACCCAGACCATCGACCTTCTTCAATCCCTTACCACTCAAACGGATGCGCGTATGGGATGACGTGCCCGGCGTTATTTGTATGGTCTGATCCTCGTAAACGCCTTCTACTCGTATCGTACCGCCTAAAACTGCCTGAGCTAGCGAGATTTCCGCGTCGGTGTGCACGTCAGGTCCATCACGGCGGAAATACCGGGACTTTTCCACACGGAATGTCACGAATATCTCCTTCCTTCCAACTGCTAGACGGATCGTCTGACCATCTTCCACTCCGGCTGGAACTGGCACCGTTATTTTCTTACGTTGTACCTAAAATAAAAACATGGTGATTAAAGCACAACAATTAACGTAATAATGATGAATAAGACAAAAATAAGAATTTTCATCGAATGATATACGGACTCAAACAATACGAAAAACATTCTCACCGTCTGTCCTTTCGCGTTGCACTCCGTGCAGGGAAATTTGATGTGCATTTTTGTGCCTTGACAGTATCGGCAAGTCGAACTCATCACGAAGGGACCAGTGCTTATTGTTTCCATTCCTGTACCATTGCAATAGTGACATTTCACTGCTTTAGTTCCTAACTCGCAACGTGTACCATTGCACTTCGGACAAGTGTCTACTACATTTACATTTATGTCTTTATTCACACCTCTAGCAGCTTGGGAAAATGTCAAATTCATGATCACCTGCAATAAGAGAACTCTGTCATTTATATGCCGCATTGATTAGGAGATATGAGACATAATCGTGCACCTCTTGAGCAGCGCCGAAACCATATCTGTTCTCTGTAAAGTCTTCGAACTCGCTAAAAGCTCCATTTTGGAATCCAGCATCGCCGAATATTTTCCTAAACAATTCCTCGGCATTGATAGTTGACCTGTATTGCCAATGTTGGCTGTAATTCTTAGGTCCTTGACTCTGATGACCCATTCCCATGCCCATTTGCTCTGATGTTGCACCCCATGTATCATATTCTCTCCTCTTAGTTTCATCGCTTAGCACTTCGTAAGCCTCGGAAACTTCTTGAAATTTCTGATTGGCATCCGGATCTCCTTTATTTGTATCAGGATGATACTTCTTAGCTAATTGATAGTAAGCCTTTTTTATATCTTTTGCCGAAGCATTCTTGGAGACTCCAAGGATTTCATAATAGTTACGTCTTAACAATCTATTCGTCAAATGTATAGTCCTATGTGTCTGAACTATTTTTCCTATGTTGTCTGAAACAAATATCAGATATTAAAAATCAACAAGACTCTTATTTACATGGAAAGAAAAAAAACGTTTGAGGTTTTCTTTTGCTGATAGATTAACTTTAATTCACAGACTTAACAAAAAAAATTATTGAATCAAAATTAAAATCAATCTACATTATTAGAAATAGAGGTGAATTATCTATAGAGCTATGGTTCTAAGTTAGCTCCTTCATTATGCATCAACTAATGTCATTTAGATGCTGTAGACAGTGACATTTTGGGAGACTGACTTTCTAGAATAGACTAATCTACAATGTATATATGATAAATATGTACATAGATGACGCGGGTTTGCAGGTTATGTTAACATGTTGGAGAAGCGTTACACGCGGTGCATATCGAAGAGTAAGAAACGTAGACGGACGTAGACGCGAGCGGTAAAGAATAGACACATCGACGCGAGAGGCAAGAGAATCGTTGACACGCCGAAAACATCAAGGAACGAATTATCGTCCAGAAAAGAAAATGATGTAATTTTCAGCAGGGATCGAGAATGCTTACTTTTCATCTTGTCGCGATTCCAGTCGCCGACAGCCAAGACGGAGGTCACCATGTGTCGCTGGCATGTGTTGCAAAATGTTTGTCGTAAAACGCAACACGAAAATTTGTTAAGCTTATTATTTCCAATTAAAGCAACGGGCTTCGGCAACGAACGGAGAATCGCGATCAACCCTGTACCGGTCGCCATGTTGCACGAGAGACGCATGGCTCCTCATGCCATGTATACAGTCACAATGGCTGCGTTCAGCAGAGAAATCAGTAAGCGCTAAGTGATTTTTCAATATGATTGGTCCTTGCCTTTAGATCTTCGTTGAATGTAAAGCCAGCGGCACACGATGTTTTTTTCTTGCTAATTTGCTAGCTGGACTCGCGTGCTTGTTGAACTCTTGTCTTCGATTGGTATATTTTTTTAGATCCAAAAGAATATACCAATCAGAGACAAGAACTCAACGAGCACGCAAATCCAGCTAGCAAATCAGCAGGAAAAAAAGCATCGTGTGACGCTGGCTTAAGTGTAGAAACCAATCATAATAAAGAATCACTGAACGCTTTCTTTGCTGAATACAGCCAATATAACCAATATGGGTACTCGATAATGAAAAATGGAATGCAGGTTAGCGCAGATTCGTTCGCGCCATGTTATGAAGACCCGGTTATTTTAGGGCTGGTTTATGCTTCGGTCTTATGCTAGATTCAGACCAGCGTGATGACATTTTTTTCCGAAAAAAGCTGTACGCTCATTGGATATCGCGATCGCGTGTGCGTCATCGCGCTGGTCTGAATTCAGCATTAGTCTCGGTCTACAATAGATGATTTAAGTTTTAAACCATAAGAAATTGACCAATCATAGTCGATTATTCTCCTATTCTTCGACTATGATTCGTCCATTTCTTATCCATATTCTTATTATTATATTAAATCACCTATTGTACACCGGAACTTAAGCCAGCGGCACACGATGCTTTTTTTCCTGCTGATTTGTTAGCTGGATTTGCGTGCTCGTCGAGCTCTTGTCTCTGATTGGTGTATTCTTTTGGATCTAAAAAAATATACCAATCGAAGACAAGAGTTCAACAAGCACGCGAATCCAGCTAGCAAATCAGCAAGAAAAAAAGCATCGTGTGTCGCTGGCTTTAAACATCTTCGACATCTTTGCAGATTATGATGGTTTCGGAACACTTCTCGGTTTAATTACATTGCAACCAATATCTAGAAAAAAAAAATAAGCTAAACTATCACCGTTTGGAATATACCCCATATTTTCCGTTTTGAAACTGCGTGATTTCTGGCAATTTCCTGTTTTCACAATACGCATGCGCGTGTATCTGAGATTGGAACTAACCTTAAATTCGAAACACTTGTGATTCAGTCTATATTCTAACCTCGAATTGTTTCGCATGTCGAGTAGCTTCAAGAAACTTTGCGAGAGAACATGTCGAAAGTAATCGAGTCCATGAAGAATCTGAACGTCGGGAACGGCGTGGAAACGAACGAACAGAATAATGAAAGAATCAAAAAAGGCGAGCTGACCCTGTCGATGGAGGAGACAGTGTCACTCGATCAAAACTGTATTCTCTTCGTCTCTGGAACCCAAAGGCAAATTCCAGTATTTTCTTATGGAATTTTACGTTAAATTTATGTGCACATACGATGCCTGTGCTTCAAAAATATTTCGCGATCTAAAATTTCGACTAATATATTCATTGTATGACCACATTTTTTTAACGACAAGTATTAAAAGAGAATCTGGTTAATAATAATCTTTTAGTATAAAAAAAAAAAAAACAGCGTTGTATAGATTTGAAGATTAGATTGAATAATTTTTTTCTTATAGTAAAATATTTTTGTTATATGTATATATATATATATATATATATAATAATTTTTGTATTTATATATTTTTTAGATATGTTTAATAATATATATTTTTGTCACTAAAATTTTTGTTCAAATGGCAGCAATTTTTGGAGCATCTACTTGTTAAGCTTTGCATTTAAATTTGATATTGATCAAAAAGTATTAATTTCATTTTTATCATATAAATCACTTTTTGTATATATAGGGAATCAGACTTTAGAATTGGAACAGCCTTGTCGGATAATACATGTGTAATATATTCTGTTGGTGAATCTTTAAGCCGAATGATTACATTGGATCGCAAGCAAGCACCTATTGTAGGAATCAAGTTCAGTCCTATTTCTAAAAATATAATATATATTGCAACTAATAATGGGTTCATTACAGCACATGATTTGCGTGCTAAGGGAAAGGTTGTAGCAGAATTTAAAGGTGACTATCAGTATCAATGATTGTGAGCATAATCCTCCATTGGTAAGCAATTCTACTCATTCAACGTTTTAGATAATACAGAAAATGGCAAAATAAAACCTTTGGCTAGTTTCGACATTAACTGTAATGAAAGGCTCATAGCTGGCGGGACAGAACACACGAGTGGAGATGCATTTATTCTGTTCTGGGACATAAGGCACAGTAATTCAAAAATAGAAAATGAAAACAATCTTCTTGGTGGATATTGGGAATCACATATAGATGACATTACTTGTCTGACCTTTCATCCTGTCAAACAAAATGTTTTAGCGTCAGGCAGCACGGATGGTCTGATGAATATATTTGACCTGACACAAACCTCAGAAGATTCTGCTTTAACGTACTCATTAAATACCGAGTCATCAGTGGTTAGAGAGAATTTATTTTTTGTTTTATATAATATAATATTAAGAGCATTTTGTTGGTAATATGTAAATCAATTTGTTTTAGGATAGGCTAGGTTGGTTAACTGATGAGTCTCTATGGTGTACAACACATATGCACACGCTGCAATTATGGGAATGCGAAGGTGCTACTGCATATGCGAAATTTGCTCGCAGTCATTTAGTCATGTCACAAGTATGCATGATTTTTATCGCGACATTATTTCTCTTAAAGAATAACATTAAAGAATTCTGTTTTTCTTACAGAATGATGATCCTGATAATTGTTACTTAGTGAAATTCCATGCTACAAATGCGTTTGGACAACCGTTTCTGTTAGCTGGTTCTAGCACAGTTAAAGGGTACTTATTTGAAACTTAACATAAATATGTTTACATACTATTGAAACAATTAGGATTTTTTTTAAGTTGATGTTTAGTTTAATTGTACAAAAATTATTAAATAGAAATGATTTTGTTTTAAATAATGTACAAGACAAAATCTAGATAGACATGGATTTTCATAATGCATAAAAATTTATATTTTAGAGAAAATCTAAGATGCTTGAACATCAGAAAAGATCGTCTGGAAACGTGCTATGAAATTGTAGGAAATAAACAAACAGTGCGGGATAGCTGGATGCATGAAAAGGTAAATTTAGGAATTACTTTGACTTGTAAATTGTCGATAACAATTTTGTGTTTTCAATTTTACAGAGTGGTTGCTTGGTGACGGTTGGTGAGGAAGGTATTGTCAACGTGTGGCGTCAATCGGAATCGATGCCGGCACAGAAAAGTTCGGATCATAAATTGTTAACTAAAATTGGAACAGGTCGTGACCGGCAATATAGGATCAAACCCTATTAAAATAAGCGTTTAGGAAGATAGCTATTAATATGGAAAAGTTTAGTTTGTAATAAAAAAAATTAATGTATTGCGTAAAATCTGAGCAGCAAATTCAAGTCGGGCAGCGATAATGATATATTTCCCTCACATTCTTCTTTATTACAATAACAGTTGTATGTACATTTATAATAAATAGGTATTATTTGTTTATGCGATTATAATTATTTAACGGCGAGTCATATATGGATAAAAAAATGCAGCCACGAGTTTCGTGTAAATGCTAAGGAATGTAAATCACATGTAACTGCGGATACATGGACTTAATAGACATGGAAGAAAAGAACAAGATGGACTGCGGGAGTTGCGGGTGTGAGAACAATTTCTTTCTGCCACAGCAAGATTAGGATCGATAAAATGGAGCGTATGACATTCGGCAATCGTCATAAAGAGGATTCGAATCGAGTGAGTCAGTACCTGTGACAGTGAACAATCAACCAAATTACAATAATAATAATAATAATAATAATAATAATAATAATAATAATAATAACAATTGATAGCAGGTCACAGTCTCTGCGTTTAAAAACTGTCAGAATTCAAAGAGACTCCCATCGCCGATCCATGTGAGCGTATCAATAACCAAACACACGCCCGCTTATTACACATTATGTAATATTATTACATTAACGATTCGAAAGACGATCGCAGTAGCGAGTATCACAATGATAACAGTAGATATAGTTTTTAGAGCGAAACGGTAGTATAGGTACAGAGTAAACGTACAAAAATACTTCCCATGAGCATCGGGGACGTAAAGATTCGCTAAAACGTGGAAAACCGCGTCGCTATAACTTCATTTTTTTATATATAATATATTTTTATATATATATATATATATATATCTTTTATATATGTATATATATATATCCTTTCTCAAACATCGCGCGTCGTCACGTGACGTTATATTAAAAAAAAAAGATACGAAAAACGCCATGAGACGCGCATAGGCCGTCGCGTTATTCCTCAGCTGACACTAGTTTGATTCTTCGCGTGTTATCCTGCAGGATCGTGTACGACTTCATAGACATTATGGATATATCAGTCGGCCGGAGACGAGGAATCGCGGCATCTCATCAATCGTGACATCGTCAATTTATTTTTGCATTTTCGTGTCTTCCGGAACAACTATAAACGCGCGAAGAGATTGTTCTCGAATCGTGCAGAAGTGTATGTTTCGTAAAATCAGTCAGCGTAAAATCGATCCTTTCTACTTTTTTACAGTTTTCTTTTGCTCGACAAGCATCATGCGAATGTCAGTGATCTCGATACATCATCTATATTTCGCGACGAAGTCGAACACTCATCTGCGGCGGATACTACAATCGCAAAATATCACCCCGCGAGCTTGTCAGACGCTCGGCATCGCAGTAGGTAGTAAGTAGTAGTAGTAATAGTAGTAATAGTAATAATTATAGTAGTAGTAATAGTAATAATAATAGTAGTGCAATAAAATCGCTTATGTCCTTTTTATCGCTTTTCTCTCGTGTAACGTGTGATATATCTTTAATACTTATATTTTTTTTAAGATCTATTGTCACCGTGATTGATTGAGACGAACTTGTAGTATTGTTACTTACTTAAGTTTCCTTAACGAGGCTATTCATTAATCATTTCTTCCTCATCCGTTGTGCCTCTATCCGTTTTTCAATCCGATCATATTGCACGCCAGCTTATCTATTAAGAAAATGTATATTTACACGCGTTACAATTACAATTCTAATTTATCAATATCGAGAATTCAAAAATACGTGATGCAACGATACAATACAATATGATTGTCGCGATTATCCTCTTCGAATTCAAAGAATCTCATCACAACGATGATCCTCACTAAAACATATTAAATTGGGATGTCTACTCTCTGGGAAACCTGGAATTCTCAGCAAATTTTCTTTTATCCTTAAAAATTAGAGAATTTTACTGCAATTTTACGGGAATTTTTTGACATTTTCTCTCTAAAGAAGGAAGTCCAAAAATGGTCAATTTTAATCGATTAGACGAACACTTTTAAAACCTATGCAATTATCATTTTAAAAATCCATACATTCATGAAAGAAAGCTTATTTACCCAAAAAAGCTTCGAAAAAATAATAAAATAATAGGTTGTTTGAACGCTTTGCAAGAAAAACTCATTTTTTTCCTAATGAACAATGATAGATTTCAAAATTAGTATGTTTATATAAATTAGTATGTTTAATGTGTTTACATTTAACACATGTTAACACATTAAATATTGTAAGAATACATTATCAGCGAAATCCACAAATACATACATACATACATTTATATGATATAACACACACACACACACACACACACACACACACACACACACACATGTATATATGTA